CTGCTACAAATCCAAACAGCAATTTGAAAGATTAAACAACACTTTTATGGTCTGCCACAAATCCAAACAGCAATTTGAAAGATTAAACAACCTTTTATGGTCTGCCACAAATCCAAACAGCAATTTGAAAGACCAAACAGCACTTTTATGGTCTGCCACCAATTAAACAGCAATTTAAAAGATCAAACAGCACTTTTAAGTGTTTTTCAACACCTTACGGCACCCCCAAAGCCAACAAACAGCACTTCTAAGCCACTTACAGCAGTTAACGACCATCTTTAGTAGCTAAACAACTACCTACAACATTCAAAATCTCAATTTCAGAACCCAAATATTAATTCCAAGCCACATATAGCTCTCAATGACTCCTAACAACATTTAATTACCACTAAACAACACTTTTAAAGGAAAGGAAATGATCACATACATGCCACTTAATCCTCACAAATTTACATGTCCATTTCCAAAACAACAATAACAATTTACCTAAGCATGAACATGTGTAAAAAAAAATTAAAATTAAAATGGTGATATTTGTTTTGTGCTATAGAATTTGAGTGGTATGTGGGCAAACATTGTCGTTTGAATGTCGGATATGTAAATATGTAAGGATTGAGTGTTACAAATTTGAAAATTTCCTTTTTAAACCTTAACATAATAATGAAGTTTTCACAATAAAAAAAACCAAAAAATCAGATCTCAAATCTAAATGATAAAGAGCAATATCAATGGATAAAGGAAGCTCATAAAACCAAGCAAAGCAATTAGGATAAAGCTAATGGTGGTGATGAATTTAATTTGTATAAAGGAATATGTAAATAGCGAACAAATTGTCAGATTCGGGATAAAATTTATATGAAGGCGCAAACCTGAGACTGCAGTAGAGGATGCAAAAAAAAATTCTGGTGGCCACTGTGAGGGTGCTTCGGTGCAGAAAGAGCGGCGAGCGGAAGCTTCGATCGTTGAGGGAGTCGAGCGACGTCTAGAGGAGCGTCGAGCGGGCTGAGGCGAGGCGAGCAACGACGTCTGGATGCGCGTCGAGCGAGCGGGCTGAGGCGAGGCGGGCGATGTCTGGAGGCGCGAATGGAGGAGTTTCGGGCGCAGGAGGAAGCACCCGAT